GTGTGTGTGCTAGTAATATGGAACGCAATTTCATATCTAACTGTATTTAAGTAAATTTGTATTGAAAATAGTTGCCTGCATTATATTGCAGGGGTCAAGGGTGCACTTGGACTTAGAGTATGTTCTAAAAAGTTACGAACGATGTTTTCTTAAATTCATTTCAGTGTATCTCGAAATGCCATGGTATCTGAAGATGGTATGGGTCTTCTACAACGTGTCCACCCAGGCAGCTTTTGTAATCACCGTACTCTACTGGGTGTTTGAATATAACAGTGAGTTGACTTGCTGGGTTCTTTGAAATTCTATTTGATTTATTTTTGTATTTACCTTTTCTTTTTTATCTTATTTTATTTCCTTTCATTTAATCCAATTCTATTTTTTTTTTAATTTTATTTATAATTAATTTCATTTTATTTATTATTAATTTCGATTTGTATCATTAATTTGCTTTAATTATTTGGTACCATTGCATTCAGAAAGTCGACATATAACTCTAATTGAAATCATAATAAAGATGTCGTTAGTTGACACCGCCGTCTACATTAACACAATGCATTTTTCCCCGAAATGATATTAGAAAACGACGTTCGTGTAGTTTGTTTAAGAGGTACTTTCATTGATTTTCCTCAGTACGGCGCGGCCCTCTGTCTTAAAGATGGGCAAAATAGCAAAAAGAGTGAATACCGTCCATTTGTGGGCTATATAGAAAAACGAGCCATTTTAGTAATTTCTGGGAAGATTGCTCAAATATACGGAGAAATGATAAATTTCGTCCAAAGGGCTATTAGCTACATACATTCTTGGCTACTTGTATAGCATAATTGCTGCTTTGGGAGCTTGTAAATCTAATTTATCTTCCCTTTCATACGTCAATACGAGAATCGGCGAAAGCTCACTTCGCAGAATTTTACTGGATTATCTTCTACTTAATAGCATAACGTTCTGAAGTTAGTTATACAGGATCATGTTGAGTTTACACAAACACGCACGCGCTCGTGCACACACACACACACACACACACACACACACACACATATCGAAATAACGATACTTATTTTTATGTTCAAAAACTTAACTTCAACAACCGCCACAGTTCACAAGATTCTGAATTAAAATTTTGCACAAATATTTCATACATTACTATTGGCCAACCTTGAAAGTTACAAGTGTTAAAGTAAAATATTTTAAAATTATCATCAAATCAAAAACACATAGACAGGTGTCAAAAACTCCCAGGCACTGGCATCTGTCAGAAGTAACATAGGCGGCTGTGACAGGAATGGCAGTGTCGGTTCCAGTGTAGAGGTTATCACACCCTCTGCCTGGGCGACAGACTGATTTTTTCACGAGATATTCACAGATATATGTCTTACTGGACCATATGTGGCTTTGTGGCTGACGGTCATTCGATTTTGTGGCCTTTTGAAAATTTGACTACAATAATTGCCACCCTGGTAGAGGGTAGGGTGAACGCCTGCTACATGCGTACATGTAAAACTGACCATTTTTTCCTTTTACCTTTATCGAATCTAATCAAGTTTGGTAATACAATGAATGCACATAGGTATTCGTATAGTAACTTGGCATCCGCAAAGGAAAGGACATGCGGGTGTAGCAGGAATGGTATTCCTAGGAATGGAAGTCCGGGGTTCCCTATGATTAGCACAGGTTAGGGTTAGTTGGAGTATTGGGGTTAGTATATGGAACGCATGTGCAAAGTAATGGGGAACGGGCTACGGTTCCTAGCTATAGCGGATTGCCATTCTTTTCACACCGGCAAGAAGAACGTGAAGGTATTACTATTTTATTTATACAGTCGCTTTAAGAAAAAAATTGATGTTATACAATCGTAACGTAGAGGTCTGTAAATCTGGGACCATAAACCTAAATTTGAAAATGGATTACTTGGCAATTCCTGTAAAAACTACTGAAAACGACTGACATCCGTGATACTCATTACGCAAAAAAGCAGCTCTTCTACAAAAAGAATGTTAGTCAATATCCTCATAAATGGAGTTTACTGCACCATTCAACCCAGTATTTTTTATTGGAACTCGCGATGAAGCACTTATTTGTTGCCGTATTTGCAAATATTTACAGAGTATGCGAATAGAATTATTTTTTGTGCATAAATCTCGATTATTTGAAAGAAATATATATATACTGTATATAGATGAGACATCTCCGCACTATTAAATGATATCTTGTACCTTGGAGTTTCGCAGCAACCGAGCACTGTGCCTCGCGTCGTGCGCTTGACAAGACAATAATTTAGTGTCATCTGGCTGTTCTGACTGATTGCACTATGCTTATATAGTTATACATCATTTATAAGAATATGGATCTTTTCGCTGTGTTTGTAATATCGCGTGATATCCTAAACTTTTAAGCAAAATGTATAGTGCCGTCTAATTGTGCAAAACGTGTGGCCAATGCCATATTCTAATTGAATAACTGATATCGGTTGTCATTTCCACTTGATTGAAATGCCAGTGTCACTGGTGGAGTCAGTCAGGCAAAAATATCATCAATGAATGGCGAAGTCTGCGAAAAAGATAGCACACACTTCGCAGTGATAAGCTACTCATATTTATTCGACTGTTGGTCGATTCGGATTTTGTATTCTTGTGGTGTTCATTTTGATTTCATTTGTATATATAATGCCTTCATGAATGAACCATTCATCTTTTTAAGGCTTTTTTTTTCTAGTAACCTGTTGGTCATTTTTATTTGGCACTGGCGCTCTTTTATTTGTTAATGAATTTGGCATATGTTGGTAATTCTTTTTACTTTTCTTCTTTCTTTACAGCCAGCAAAACTCTCAACATTGTGAACGTCACTACGCACGCTGTCAACAGTGTCTTCGCCTTCATAGACATGTTGGTCACCGCGATTCCTATTCGAATTTTACACGCCCCAGGCCCTATGATCTATGGCGCCACCTATCTAATTTTTGCTCCAATTTATTGGGCGGCGGGAGGACTGAATGAACATGGTGGAACGTATATATACCCATTACTGGACTACGGGAACAAGTTGGGGTTGGCCATTGGAAGTTCCCTTGGCACTGTCTTTGTGGCTGTGCCTCTTGTTCAATTGCTGCTGTTTGGTCTATATAAACTGAGGCTTACTTTCCACTGTGGCAGAATAAACAAAAAAGTGACACAGAGACCGACTTCGATTGAAACACGGATCTTGCAAGCACAAACGAGTTAACATCGCACCTTCAGGAGGCGGGTAATGATGACTGTTGTAGAAAACTGAGAGACACACACAAAGCAAGGAAAAACGAATACAAGCTAACAAAAATAATAAACCCAATGTCAAGAGATTCAACTAGCGTACAAAATGGAAACGAAAAATGAAATGATAAATCATTTGGCATGGAACCATATTTATTTACGGGCAAATGAATAATAGCCTAGAAAGAGAGTAGCTGAAACATGGAAGTCGTGATTATTGAAAATGGCTCCATGATGACTCCAATACTCATGTAAATGAATACATGTTTACGTAGAAGTCGAGCCCCGGTACATGCAATATTGTTTCAGCTGGTTACTTATATTAATTTTGAAATACTGTAAATATGTAAACTAGCGACCATATTGTGGACTGTCGCTTTATTCCCTTTCTAATGCTCAACGAATACACAAGAAAGGTCTATCTCTGAGTCACTTCTGTGGGGCACACATTTTGTGTACTTTTTGCGTAACTTTTACTTGCCTCTTTATTTTTGCTGTTTTTATGGCATTATTGTATTTTTCAATGTGAAAAGAAATCAACAATAAATTATAATGATACATGTATAAACCATTAAAAAATTGATTAATGCAAATATTACATTATTACGGTGAATGACCCTTGAGCTATTGCTGTATGAGAAATTAACGAACTCAAATAACATGGCAAAGTTATTGTGTTAAATTATGAAAGATGGGTAACGAAAAAACTATTTTATCTTGAGGAACGAGAACGAGGCCAAGAAGGAGACAGCTACCGTAAGAGCTCAATCTGCAAGAAGTAAAAAATCTAGGGATACATAAATTTGTGTATACTAACTGTCTCCTGCGAATGAATATAGAACCATGGATGCAATTAGAGGCAGCTCAGTGTTTTAAAGGAACGCGTTTTATATGGAGAGGTATTTTAACTAAGACAAACATCTCACGTGTTTGTAACAGATTTATTATTACAATTCATGAATCGTATTGTTGTTTTTTAAATACAAAAAGAAAAGAACAATTACAGTAATATAATCAAATAAATAAATAAATACTGTAGTAAGAATGTTTTTAATGGGTAAGAGGCGCAGGAATATAAAATACCGATACCTATTTGTTATTTTCAGAAAAATAAAATAACAACATCTATTTATTGTCTCAGCCATGCTAACGGTAACTGATTTTCTTATTGTAATTGATGGTGACATGCGAGCAAGTATTGCGTTTAAAGTAATCGTTAATTATATCCCTGGTAAGTCAATTTGTTAAGATACATATTAGGTCTCTTGTTTTCAATGCCGTCCTATGTTTTCATCCCTTACCTGTGTCAGTTTTGGTATGACGAGTTTTTATTATTGTTATTACTAGTGTTTTGATCTTAATTATTATTATTATTTTCTTAATTAGTGTGATTCATGTCAAGTGGACATTCCACACCCAGATGATCGGAATCGGAATGATTTAATACATATTTTATTCTCCAGCAGTGGCGGATTTAGGGGGGGTCAGGGGGGTCCTGACACACCCCTTTCGGTTTCTGAAAAATATATATATCACAGCAATGTTCCCCTCTTGATATTAGAATTTTGAGAAGCTAAATCATAGTTCTAAACCGTACCAAAGGGCACTGTTTGCTCTCAAAAAAAAAAAGAAAATTTCGGGGCCCTTGAGCAGGCCCCAAACCCCACACCAAGGGGGCGATGGTCGGCTTTGCACCCCTTCAAATAATCCTGGATCCGCCCCTGTTAACAGTCTGACTGGTAAATAAGTCAGTTGACAAAATAAATAAAGAGACCGAGCGTGTTTTTCAGTAGTCATACTAGAACCCACCAAACTGTATTCGGTCCTTGTTACGTGTACTCATTCATATGAACCTTGACGTTTTATCAAGGGCCTGACCTCATGAAAGACCCGTCGAAAATCTAGTATAAGTTATTATATATATTATATAACATACGAGAAATTCAAAATGATATGATCCATACATCATTGATGTCTCACGTCTTTGTTCGCATCCGTGGACCCCCCCCCCCCCTTCAAATAATCCTGGATTTGTGTGTGTGTGTGTGTGTGTGTGTGTGTGTGTGTGTGTGTAAAGATAGACACCCAATGCTGATTTTCTAGAATAATTTTCAAATAGGTGAAACAGGTGTAACAGGAATGGAAGTCCGGGCTCCCTAATGATGAGTACAGGTTATGGTTAATTGGAGTATTGGGGTTAGTGTATGGACGAATGTCACCTGTAGAAAGTAATGGGAAGCAGACTACGGTTCCTAGCGGACTCCCATTCCTGTTACACCTGGGCTACATGTGAATCTTTTGGTCTTGTAGAGTATCGTATGTGACATCGAATATTTGCACGACTTTGAGCATATGAAGGTATCACCACCGGGTTTATTGAACATTTGTGAATAGTTTCACTAACAACCTCTCACCTAAAATGAGCTATACCTGTTGTTATTTGCATAACAACAAGTTGTGCATGGTAGTGCGAGCTGTCTTCCCCAATGCTCACTTGACAGTTAGACAGAGTCGGATGTAGACGCAACAGCATGTGTGGTGTAGTCAGAACGTCGAGCTTTTATAAGGCGTGGAAGCAAATGTATGTTTGTGAGTTTTATGTGTTACCTAAATTTTAAATATTTATAAAATGGCCATTTTTTTTCTAAATAAATCCCCCCCCCCCCCAAGCTGTTTTAGGGCATTGAAATAAAATATCTAGAATGACTTCCAACAATCTACATTTTAAGTTCAAATTTATATAAATTTACAATCCTATTTTTTTAATTCACATAAATTCTTTGTTCTATAGCATATGGAACTAATTCGTTTGGATATAATTTTTCCTATATTCTCTTATATAAGGAGGGTCCCATTTCGACGGGTTCTGGATCTGCTATCGTGGATTCTTTTAATTTGGCCACCCATTCTTAGTAAAAATACTTAATTTGATATTTGAACGTAATAATGAAAAGATGGGCAATTCTCATATAACCTTAAATTCTTTTAAATGGATCAGGCTGAAATTGGCCAAAAATTTGATTTCTGAGGGTATAACAGAACAATTTCTTTAGGTCCTGTTTTCTGAACCAAATTGGGATAATTAAGACTCGACCAAATTGTCACCCCTCTAATGCAATGGACTCGTCCCACCTGTCACCCCTCTAATGCAATGGACTCGCCCCACCTGTCACCCCTTCTAA